CTTTGATTTTTATTTAATACATATTTCAAATCATTTCATTTTAATTTTTTAATTAAAACGGTATGATGCAAATTTAGTAGTCCACAAAATTTACCCAAGTTTTTGGGAAATGCAGCTAGATTAAAAATTCCCGGCCATATATGAGACGTGAGTCATTCAGGTCACGTAGACCTTACTGTCGTTAGACTGCTTATGATGGTTTAGACAAGGCTGTTCGTATCCCATGTAATCTCCACCTACCTGCAAAAGAGATAACGTGGTTAGGGTACTGGAAACATTCATTTCAAATAAAATATTTTATATAATGAATCAGTTGAGATATAGCAGCACGGTTTTTAAATTGGGTTCGACTCAGTAGAGGGATCCTGAGTGAGGATAAATCATCATTTCAATCAATTCTTTATTTTTTCGTTACAATGCTTACCTTCATTGGTCAAGCATAAATTCGAGCTCCGAACGATTGTTGTCTGCAATGAAAAACAAACTTTCATTTAGTACAAATAAGGGAGGAAGGAGCTTCAAGTATAGCAAATTAGATGATCAGTTAAAAGTAGACAGCATGATTGTTTAATTTGGGTTCGACTCAGTAGAGGGATCCTGAGTAAGGATAAATCATCAACGTAAAGACAAATACATATATGAATAAAAACAAAGGCCTACCTTCGCATGCCTATCAATTTACGCCAGCCATCCGTTATACATAGCTTCTCAGTGTTCAATTAGGCAAACATTCTAAAATGGTATCAAAGAACCTTATGATAAAACTTAAGATGAAATTTATCGCAGAATTGTAATGTAACTATATTTATCAGTTAAGTAAAATTGTTACATGTATTTTTCAAATGAACTATACTATTATGTGAGTCATCATATAAAATAAAATTTTATTTCAGATGCGTAATGTACACATACTAACCTTTTCAGAAATCCACACACCCAACATGTTTCTCCCTTTTAATATAGACACCTGCCAGTGAAATCTGTGCAAAAACCGAATAATTCTTTGTCCTGCAAAATAAATTAATATCCATTAACATGCAGAACTGCAAACATAGAAAATGCATTGTTTTAGCTTTATCAGTATCCTTTTGGTTTATAGTTAGTGTGATCAGCATGATTTTATGTCAGCTTATTGTTATCATCAAAGTGAATATCTAGGGATGTTAATTAAATCTGATTTTTTACAAACCTTTGTGACCACCATTTCGCCATTCGCCATCTGGTTTACAAGCATCTTACAAGCAGCTGGGTAAGGGCTGTAAAAAATACAGACAAATATACCTGGTTAAAACATATTCAAACGAGTACTACCATCAAATGGTAGAATAATTTTATCAGAATCCTTTTGGTTTAATTTTAAGTTGTAAATCAGCAATTATTTTTACTTATGATTAAACTTATCATCACTCAAAACAAAAATATGCATATATTTTCTTAAAAAATTGTATAGCTTACCTTTTACCAGGGGATTAGAGCACATAGCACATGCATCGACATAAGCAGTTTTTCAGAATTGCCTGAAATAAGAACGCTTAATTACAATCAACTTACAATGAAAAATACATTTAATAAAACGTAGTTCTTCAGTTGGCCGTTCTTATCTATCCGCAAAAATTAAAATGCATACAAATTAATTACGAGAATTAAATGCAACACATTTTTTCAGAACGAGAACAATCATCAAAAAGGTATATCAAGCAGATTCTCGCAGGAATAAAGATACTTACATAGGTAATTTTATCCCCACTTTTCCAGCCCATCATTGCGGCCTTTTATTTCTTTGCAACTGCGTAAGTTGCAGAATACATGCAGAATTGATATTTTAGTAGTATTTTATAAAATACTTTCATAATTAAATGTAACTTTTCCATGTTTTGCGAAACGAACAAGTTCACTCTTTGAAAACCGACAGCGAAATGAACGAGTTTTGAAAATGGCAGATGGAACGTCTGGAAAGCGAGCCATCTAGGTAGTTGCCACAGCGCTCGTAATAGAAAACAGATGTTGATTTCCAGTAGTGCATTTCATCCCAAAACCGCTGATTTCCCTAAAAAGGTGTTCGCAGGAGGGGCCACGCAGGGTTGCAAGTTGAATGACTAGAAGTAGAATGCAAAGTTGAAGAGTGCAAACGCTTTTTTATGGCGAATATTTTAATATTTTTTTATATTTTGATATTTTTAGC